AAATTAGAGAGAATCCAGTGGAGGGCAATGAAAATGGTGATGGAGCTGGGGCATGTGACTTCTGAGGAGAGGCTGAGGGAACTGGACTTATTTAGTCCAGAGAAGAGAAGACAGAAGGGATTTAATAGCAGGCTTCGACCAGCTGAAGGGTGGTTCCAAAGAGGATGGAGCTAGACTGTTCTCAGTGGTGACAGATGACAGAACAAGGAGCAACGGTTTCAAGGTGCAGCAAAGAAAGTTTATGTTAAATATTAGGAAGAATTTTTCCACTAGGAGGGTTGTAAAACACTGGAACAGGTTACCCAGAGAGGTTGTAGACACTCCATCCTTGGAGGATTTTAAGACCTGACTAGACAAAGCCTTGGCTGGGATGATCTAGTTGGGGATGGTCCTGCTTTAAGCAAGGGGTTAAACTAGATGATCTCCTGAGGTCCCTTCCAACCCTAATTTTCTATGATTCTATCATGCACGGTTCACATGCAGTTCCCAGGACACACGTACTACCTGCGGGAAGCCCCGTACAATAGACCTGGCAGTCTTCCCCACTCCCTGCTGCCATGTGTAGCTGTCAGGTCTCCACCAGGAAGCAGGGGATGGGGCTCCCTGCCACTTTCACCAGAGTCCCATGAGCTGTAAGTGGCAACAGGGAAGGCACACAAGCACTGGGAGCTCCATGTGAGCCCTGCACAATAAAGGTGGTCTGGCCTGGCTCCACTCCTTGCCACCATGTGCAGCTCCCAAAACTGCCTGGAGCTGTGTGCCACCTGGTGGCTGTGCCTGTGAGGGCCACAAACAGACCACTGCCTGCTGCTGCTGTTACCACCGGTGGCAGGGGTTGTGCACCATGTGGGGGAGCATGGTTTACCGGAGAGGGGGTCCCACACCCGCCCACATTCCCTCACATCCCTCAAACACCACACACACCTATGCCCAGCTCACCTGAGCTCTGTGCTCCCACTGCACCACTGAGCATGGGCCCCGGGCTCCCACCAGCCCCAGCACCATGCTTCTGCCCAACTGCAGCTTCCCTACCTGGTGCTTGGAGAAAGTGCTGTAGCAGGGACATGAGATGGGGCCACTGGAGGCTAAGGAAACTGAGCAGGTCCTCCAGTGGCTGCAGCAGTGGCAGCAGCAGCCCCATCCAGAAGCTGCGTGTGCTTCCCACACGAGGGTGGGAGTGAAGTGTGGGGACTGAGTGGGGTACAATTAATTGGTGGGTGCCCGCAGGCCAGATGAAATTACCTGGTGGGCCAAATCTGGCCCACAGGCCATATTTTGCCCATCCCCGTGTTAGAAGAATTGTAAGTAATCAGGTAGAGCCTGAGACAAGCAGCCACCCCACCAAGCCATACATCTCTAAATATTTTACTCTTTCTCTTGGCCTCACATATCTCCTCTGCTTGGCTGCCCAGTGGTCCAATTTCCCCTTCAGTCAATTGAAGGCCAGAATATTAGTCAAAGATTCCCAGCAATATGTATACAGTATTTACTCAAATTGAAGATGAGTCCCCCTCCTTGCCTCACCATTTAATATGGGGGGGAAACCTCTCATCTTGGAATTGAGTATGAGGTAGTGGGAGAGTGGCTGTTGCTGTATAGCTCAAGCTCCAGCTCTGGCCCCAACTTGGGGTCAAAGTCACAGCTGTCCCCCATCGTTTACATTTGCTCTGGGTCTGGCAGGGCTCTGGTGCCACTCCAGCCGGGGGCATGGAGCACATTTTCAGACCCAGCCCAGTAACAGCTGCTGGAGCAGGAGCTGTCCAACCTGGCCCCAGAGCAGGGAAGAGGCTACACAAGGTGGGGTGAAAAGAGGTGGAGGGAGCAAGCAGCAAGGGGGACCAGGCAGAAGGGGGCAAGAAGGTGCCAGAACTGCAAGCAGGGGCAGATAGTAAGGGTAAAGCTGCTTGACAACCCACCACCTGCCCCTCACACTACTGCTTTACCTGCTGCAGTAGTGTGCAGGGGAGAGTGAATTTAAGACAACCCTCCAATAATTTGATTCTGTACATGAAAAACTGTAACAAATTTATACAATTTTCTATGCACAGAATCTAATTATTTTGGAGTCATTTTAAATGCAGAGCCACCTCGGATTCAGGTAAGTACTGTAACATGGAGTGTGGGGTTAATGTGCATCAAGAGTGATTTAGCCAGTGTAATTCACTTCCTTTCTTTCCCTAATTGTTGACCAAATCTAGCGATGTTCAGATTCTGCTTTGAAAGGTTCTTCCTTACATATGTACTAGGACAATTTTATTTTCCTGTGCAGCAGTCCAGCCAGAAAACAGATATACTGAACATGGTTAGTAGACTAGAGTGGGAAATGTAGAATCATAAACTGTGCATGACTGCCAAAAACTGCAATTCTGCAGCTATATACATACCATTTAAGCATGTAAAGCAAAATACAACTAATGCCTAAGTGACTTGCTTAAGGTTACCTATAATATCAATTGCATAGCAGGGAATGGAACCCAGGTCCTCCAGATTTTAGGCTAGTACCAGTTACTACCCTTTCTTCTCAGGAAAACAGCTATGAAAACAAAAACATTTCCAAAAAAAATTATTCACTCAGCTCCTCCCTCACAAATGAAAGACCACTGCTAAAATGGGTATCGGAGCTTTCCATAACATTTTTTTCTTCTCTAGCACAAGTGAATTTGCTTTGCATTGACTGACATTCAATTGCAAATGATTGTTAAGATGGATTTATACTCCAGAAGCAAATAGAATAAAATAAAAAGAAGAAAAAATGGGTGGAATTCTGGCCTTATTTCAGTTGAAGAATAACAATGAACAGCAAATATAAAAACTATTTTTTATAAAACTTAAAAAAAAAAAGGCAAAATGGGGGGTTCCATTTATTTTGATAGGTAAGAATTCACCCCATGAAACCTTTGCAAAATGTTTATAATCGTAGGCCCCTACTACGTTACATATATCATGCAATTAACTGGTTAATCACACAATAAATTTAAACCGGCCATAGGTGCAAAGTAATTATTACATGATAAAAATGACTATCCAGCTATAGAGAACATGCAAGCTATAAAGTTAGTGCTTGAAAATGTGCAACAACTCTATAGCTAGTTCTCTCCAGCTTTAATTTGAACATGTAACAGGTCCCTTAATCATACAACCATTACACATACAGTTTTACTCGCATGCATCATTTCTCAGAACTCAGTATCAGGTAGCATGAACCCCAAAATGAGGGTCTGAAAATAAATTAAATTAAAAACATACATATCAGTAAAAAGCAACAGTTTGTTTAAAGATTCTTCTATAACGATGACAACACAAACAGTACTGCACTTACATATATGAACACCAGGCAGCACAACTACCTGGTTTGCTTCAATTAGTCAAGGTACACGATGTGCAAATGATAAACATCAGTAAGAGAGAAAAATAATAGATATTAAAACGTTTAGTTTGAATAATTTGATATACTTTTGTCGTTTCCATTAAAAAAATTAAACACACTGAAGGTCCTATTCTAACATCAGCATAAATTGCAACCATATTAATAGAAGGCAGAATAGGCCTCAAAACATGTATAATACTATATTAAAAATACTTATTACATTGAACAATCCAAGATGAAGGGACACACAAGTGAGATACAGTTAAATAAAAGGTAGATATGCCAGTGACAGCAACATACAAAAACAGCACTCCGCTAAGGACTCCTATTTAAAATATGTTTTCAATATGAGATAAGAGACAGCAGCAGTATGAGGCAATTTGTGTGTCATGCTCTAGAAAGAAAGGAGATAATACATTGTCAGGCCCTTGCATTAGCAGCACATTTTTTCTGAAAGGAAAGTGATCAATCAGATCCAGAAATGAGGAAGAATTTTACACCTCTAACTCTGTTTTCCTGAACTTTTCATCTGAATTTCAACACTGAAAAGGGCTGGAAGCCTCTATTCAAAATTCACTGAGTCTGCTCTACCAAAAAACCTCACAGTGATGGATGTGGTAGAAACCCAATTAAAAAAGAAAAAGCCCAACATCTCACTGACTTGCAGGACTAGTATAAAGTAAATGTGTTCCTATTTCTATACTCATCTGAACTCCGTAAAATGTTAACCTCTCCAAGCACCAAGTGCATTAAGACAGACAGACAAACATCATTTTTTTTGGTTACACTGGGTATTATTTTGCTGGCATTAATAACCAATTCAACTTGGTAAGGATCTCCTTTCTCAGTTTCTCCAAGTATATACACCTTTGAAGATCTGGGACACAGTCTCTAGAAAGTCAGACTAGATGTTCGTGATTATGCCTTCTGACCTTATAACGTATGGAAATGTTCATTGCCAATTTTGTGTTACATAAGCTGTCTTCATTATTGAGTTAACCCAAATGTAAATTGTTTGAGTTCAAAGAAAAATCATAGAATCATAGAAAATTAGGATTGGAAGGGATCTCAGGAAAAAGGAATCCAAGGAGAATGAATTTAAATGGCTGATTTAAATACCTAAAGTTCTTGAAAACAGGAGTCCTGTTGCTGTTCCCATCCAATTTAATGATGTGTGATTGAACAAATGGCATCACTGTATATATTTAAGACCTTCTCACATAGGTGGCCAGAGAGGATTGGATACGTTGGTGACTGAAGTGTCATTGTATAACAGCTGTCACAGTAGAGCATAATTATGGAAATGGATATTTATTTCTCAATATAGCATTTATTCCAGGCTACAAGAAAGGAGCGTATGCCCAAAAACTTGCAAATAATTTTTTTTGCTATTTTTTCGTTGGTCTAATAAAAGGTATCACCTCCGAACCAAGAGTGTTGTATTTCTTTCTGTCCCAGACCAACACACCTACAAAACAGATCCCTGTCTCCAGAGCAGTATATGTCCTATTGCTACCAGCAATCAGGACTCGTGGAAGAGGTAGTATCTTTTATTAGACCAACTAAATTTCTTCAAAAAAAGTTTCTTTATTTTGCTACTTCTACCAAGCATTTTGCTATTGCTACCACGTACTTACCCACGCGCCGCTGCCGCCCCAGCCCCTACTTGCCCTGCACAGGCTCCTTCCCCAGCTTGCACCGCTCCGGGGTAAAGGTCTCACTCGGCTCCTTCACAACAACTCGCTACTACTCCCACAGGGCTGCGGCCGGACGGCGGCACGTGACCCCTGGCCCCGCCGCGAGGGGGCGCCAGGAGGCTGCCGGCGGACGCGGCGTTTACGTCACAGCCTCGCAACCCCCAGCCGCGCGCAGTGTGTGGGGGCGGGACTGGGAAAGCGCCGGGTTAGGCTCACGTCACGCTCAGCGCCCCGCCTCCCGCGGGGTGCCGGCGAGTTGCAAGCGCGCAGTCCACACTCGCTTAACCCGCACCGCCAGGAACTTTGCTCCCTTACGTCGTTCCGTGTGCGCACGCGCCGGCTTCTTAAAGGCGCAGTGAGCTGACGGGTGGGTGCGGAAGGTCAGTGTCCGTCCGCCTGAGCTGGGTTCGTTGTGAAGCACAGCGTTGATTGGGACACGGCAGTTTCCTGGGGGGCCCCTCTGGGAGGGCTGGGGTCTGCAGCCAGACAAAACCCTAATCAAACTGGTGCTCTGTTCTTAGCATCAGATATTTCATGTGGGGTCAGGGGCTTGGACAGTCTGTAGGATCCCAGAATCAAAGGCCTTATCCCAAAACAAATCCAACAGTGCCGCCCTTCCTTATTTTCTGCCTGGCTTCAGACTAACCTGGTTATGTTATATAAATTGGGAAACAATCAATTGCGTCATTTAATTGTAGAAGAAAGGGGCTGTGTAGTTTCATATTACAGATATGATATCAGAAAGCGATGTTGCACGTCCCTGCCTGAGCAAACAGGAAAAGATGACAAGTCTAGTAATAAAAACTTCCTGTTCATTTGGAAGTACTGTATCTCTGTGACTAACAGTGATTGACATGTAACTAGGTAAGCTAAGAAATATCTGTACAGTACATGGATGTATTTAAATGACATTCCTATTGCTCGTACTACTGTACATAGGGACAACACCTTCTTGCAATTTATTTTACAGAACTGCAACATGAAAGGAATATTTAACACGCAATACAAAGAGCTGTGCACACTCCCCCTCTTTTCCCCCATCCCCCTGTTAGGAGCTCTGATGTGACTCCTCATTCCCTCTCAGTGAGAGGTTGTACTCTGGGCCCCCCATTCTCCTGTTCAAACCCACCACTATTTCTTTCTGTCTGAGGGATAACTCTGGACTTGCCTGCATATGGATGCCATGTTCCCCTTGTGGGCACTTAGTCCATACCAATGCTGCCTTTTTCTGGTTTAACTCGATACTCTTTGAACTAAGGTAAGCCATGCAAAGGCACTCTTAGGGTCTGTCTGCTGTAGTGCTCAGGTGCTGAAACATGCTGCTGTATTTGCTCCATGTGCATTACCTCCTGATTTAGGGGTAGCATCTGCTTTTTACAGCCTGCATTACTCTCAGTTTCAGAGATAGCATAAATACTTTGTTTTGCTGTAATTGAACAGTCCAGAAATGCCCTGAGTGCGGAATAATGTCCACATAGATAGGCTATTGGAGAATAGATTTAAAACTTTATTAGAAAATGTTAAAAATCATGGTTATTTACATGGCTTTGTGAGCTGGAAGATAATATAGGACTGTGCACATGGTAGCTACATGGATACATAGTTGGTATTTGTTAATGCAATCTAAGACATGCAATCATGCAGCCTACTTTAGTCCAGGATATAGGGGATTAGGAGATTCTAATGCCATGCTATGATAGGAAGAGAAGTATGACCCCATGCACAGTAGCTATATCAGTACAGAACTGTAAGGTGGCAATAGATTCTTAGACAATGGTTTTAGCATACAATTTATAATTGCAGGCTTGGGAAATATTCAAAGGCATTAAGAGGTTTGGCAGTCGGTGGTATATGTGGGAGGGGTTCACTCCATCCCCTTGGTCTCACTTCTGGCCAGTGGTCTCGAGCAGCTGTCTTCATATTGGTAATGGCCTGTGATGTGCTTGATTGAAATGTCCCTTGACCATCAGATGATATCAGATACTGTGAGGCACCTCATTGGTTTTGCATAAGAACAGAATACTCTGAAGGCTCACGGGATGCTCTTGTAGCTTGGGTTCCACACTTCAAGTTCTCCAACAATCATTACCCGCACTGTCACATCTTACCCCTTTTCCCTCAGGGTATCAGTCTGTATTTGGACAGCTTTTGCTTCCAGGGTTTGGTGAAAATCTGCCATTAGTTCTCAAATGGGATTGTCATGTCGATCATTAGGACCTTTTTATTGTCTTTATCTGTTACAACAATGTCCAGGTGTAGCTGGCTGTCACAGCTTGGGACAGCATGGTTCACAGCTACTATCTCATTGACACAGAGATGACCTTCACCAGCTGGTCATGGACAGTGTTGTGACACAGTTGCCATATTCTTATGTGGGTCTCACTCTCATACCTGTACCTCCAGCACTTCTTGTCTTGGTGTCTGTAGTGCATGGCACTGTTGAGCAGGATGCAGTTAAGATGGGCCTGATTGATGAAGTGCCAGTCTGTAAAGCACGTGAAATTCCCATGGGGCATGAGATGGTTGCTGGATTCCCACTTTGAGGTGACCTCAAAGACTTTGCCTTGGTCAGGTTTTGTCCTCAAGTCATCAATGTACTGGCCTGCACGTTGTTCTTCAGGAACCTCCCCAGGCAGCTCCTGATGCAAGGGGTGATAGTCATGTGTTTGGAGGTTGGAGCTGGGAGCAGCAAGATCCCAGCTCTTGACACTCCTCATACCACGTCCAGCAGTAGCTAATACACTTCCTGAGTCACTGCATGGTATTGCAGGCTCAACTCCACAGCAAGACTAAGTTCCCACCATCTCACCCAAACTCACCCTCCAGCAACCTATTCAGGAACATAGCCATGTCCTTATTGGGTGGCAGTCTGGCAATCCTCCTCTTAGTGGTTGCCTTCAAGACACAAGTAGCAGTGCTGCTCACCCGGTCATTGAGGTAGGTCAGGAGGTAAAAGGCATGGGTGCCAACTGCAGTGTCACAGAAGACTCCCATGTGAGGGATGTTGGCACTCCCCTGCCAATAAGGGATGTGCAGAATCTCATTGCTGACCCATAGCAGCAGGTTCATCCACCTCTTGAGCAGACACTTGATTTCATCAGCTGCTTTCTTGAATCAGGAAAATACTGAGCTTCTCAGGACAAATGAGATGCAGGGGGTGAGGAAGGTGTTTAGGGTGTCAATCAGCAAATCAGCAATCTTCTGCTAGCAGAAAGGAAGAGCAGAAGGGGCAGTAGGGAAGAGTTGAGTTTGTAAGCATTTTGTGCAGTCCTGCAGATTGTTTTCTCTGGTGTCTGTCCCACCCGGTGGCTGGTAGTATGCCCAAGTGAAGGTAGCTCTTGCTGTCTTTCTAGCACCTCATGGGCTTATCCTGGACTTCGATGGCAGTGGCCAGGATAGTGTTTCTTTTCCTGCAGTCAGTATGCAAGGAGACATATTTGGAGGCATTGAAGTGGAGCCCCATCTAGCTGATGCTCAGGATCCTCTGGAGTTGGTCAGGCTCACTGGTGAGGAGCACTAGGTCATCTGCATAAGTCAACTTACTTCCGTAAAGGTTGAAATCTCCTGGGCCCAGTTAATTTGACCCACTGCTCCTGAAAATTTGCCAACCCCTGATATTTGAAAGACCTATTTTAAAGACTTTTCAGGCCTGTTGATCTGTTTAATTTTATCTCATTACTTGTTTAGCTGGTTTAACACATTGCTGTCTTTACTTTGCTGACCAGGCTAGCTGTAGTGTCTGCAAAAGATTTATTTTGCAGTTATTCAGAACCAGGCTTTGGAGTTTGAGTTTTGGCCACATTTTTGTAACTTGATCTGAACTCCATGAAAATAGCCAAGGCTGGTAACAATTACTACCCTAGTACTTAATGACAGGACCTCTTTAATTTCTTCATTTTGGCATATTCTGTTTTAAGATTTGAATCTCGTATTCACTGGAAACTTTGTACCTCTTCCTTGGTCATTGAGTCAAGTGTGTTGGTAACCTTGCCATTAATAAGATCTACCAGTACATCTCCCCAGGTTAGCTCTTCTGCTACCTATGTTATTTTCCCCTCATATGGAATTACTTTTTCCCCCTGGGAAACAGACCAAGCTGTGAATGCAACCCAAACAACAGCCTGAAGAAAATGTCTCTCAGGGGTGTATTGCATGTGTACTAGTGTAAAATTAGCCATTTCTCCATAAATTTGTCCTCTTGTAGTTATGAAATATGTTTTCCTTTTACATTTGTTATTTATTTTCTGGGTCTATACATTAACACAGATTTTATGCACAATGACAAATGAGCATTTCTACTCTGCTAGATCTTTTGCTCACTCTGTCTTTCCCAGAACAATGAGTCTATCCAGTTCCTCTCTTTGCTTATGCCTTAAGCAAGTGGAGTTTTCCAAGGAGCTTGAACTGTGGAATGTGTGGGCTTTTTCACCTCTATTCTTCACTATGCTGAGAGTTTATTTAGTCCCTAGATCAGGGATGTCAAACCTGGGTCCCAGAATTGCTCCGTCTGGCTCACAAGGCTACTGGTAGGCCGGTGGATTTGGTGGTATGTCTGGCAGTAGGTGTGAGCTGCCATGGAATCAGGGGCTTTGCGGGGGTTGTCTAAAAGCACCATCCGTGCCTCATAAGACTCAGTCTGGACTGGTCAACTTCCTTTGCTCGACACATTCTATTTGCTTTACCAAGGCTAAGTTTTGACTCTTCCAGTAGTTTTTCTCTAAGTATATTATCCCTGGTCCCAAACACAACCTGGTATGTTATTAGCGAGACAGTCTCTCCAAATTGCAAAATGGAACAAATTCTTCCAATTTCCCCTTTCTTTTTGTACTCTGGTCTAAAACATATCACTTCTATATTTAATTTTAACATGGAGTGCAGTACTCATCAGAATTTTGCAGTAAGGTTATCACAGTTAGTCTCCTTTGCTTGAGTTACTAAGAACTATTACAGACAGAGAGAACATAAAACCAGCTGTTGTTAGAATGACTACTACCATCTAATTGCCTC